TTTTTTTTTTTTTTTTTTTTTTTTTTTGGTTACCGGGGAATCGGACTCAGAAACTTTCATTTGCCAGGCAGGTGCTTATGCCACTGAACTGTCTCCCTGGCTCCTTGACTAGCTTTTTTTCCTCCGCACTTTATGTATTTAGTACAGGGTTTCACTACTCAGCTCGGACTCATTGTGATCCTTCTGTTTTCAGCCTCCCCTGTGCTGGGATTACCGGCATGTACCACCACACCTGAAGTAGGTGGCTGGCTCAGCGTGTCCTGGGGGGCGGGGCCAGTGTGGCATGTGAGTCTGGGGATTGAACCCTGGTCCCTGTGCTTGCCAAAGCAGGCCCTTAATCCACTGAGCTATCTCACCAGCTCTCTTGATTAGCTTTTTAAATTTGTAGAAATCTAAATATTTATTGTCTTAAGAAAAATTAACTTCATTGTTTAAAAATTGTGAAGTATGGCCAGCCTTGAAGAGGTCTTCCCGTCTCAGCTTCCTGAGTGCTGGAATTATAGGGATGTGTCACCTTGGCTGGCCCCATAACTTGTGTTATGCAAATTAAATGTTTGACATCAAATTGTTAGTTACTTTTATGAATTTGGCTTATTGTTTTTTTTATCTTTTTATTTAATTTTTTATGGCTTGTTTTATAAATAGAAGTAGCTTCGTTCATCTTTTGATTTTAAAATTATGTGTTGGTTACAAGTAGGAAAAGTTCAGTTCTGCCTAACAGCGCTCAGTGCTCCTACAGGTGGTTCTCTACACACTGTTGAGCCAGGAGAGGAGGGCGGACCCTGAGGCCGGCTGGCTTCTCTACCTCAAGACGGGGCAGATGTATCCTGTGCCTGCTAAGCATCTGGATAAGAGAGGTAGGGCTGCTTGCTCAGCTTTCCTTGCGGCCCTGCTGCTGCCCTCAGTGCTGGCCGTGGCTTTACACCTGAAGGCCTGCTTGTGGCACCCGCCAGCCTATTGAGTTGTAATTGGTAACTGTGGCACTTTTTCGAAATAGAAATTTAATGATGTGTTCTATAGTTGAGAAAAATTAACCTTTAAAATTTTGTTATACAGTAAACTTAAGGTTGAACTTTGTTATGAGTTGCTGTAGATAGTGCTATTCTTAGTACTCAGCTAGGAAAATCTGAGCTTAAGAAATCCTTACCCAGTTCTTAATATTTATTTATTTAATAATAAATGTGTGGCCAGCTCAGCCCACCAGGGGGCGGGCGGGCTGGCATGTGGTGCTGGGGGATTGAACCGCGGTCCCTGTGCTTTGCTTGGCTTAGCTGGTTCTAAGTAGGTGCTTTAGACCACTGAACCATCTCACCAGCTCCACTTACCCAGTTCTTTAAGTGGCTGCTTCAACAAAGCAGTCAGGCTCAGGTTACTGTGGTTTGATCACCACAACTCAAGCCAGCTAAACCTGCCCTGAAGGCATTCGGAGAAAAAATAAATCCTGCCTTTTTTGGGGGGAACTACCTGCTCGCCCCACACCTCCTGTCCCTCTCTCAGACAGGAGCTTTCTTTCTCTCAATAAATATATTCTGCTCATTAAAAGAAAGAAAAATCCTTACCTATGCAGAGGTAGGTATTTGTTTCAAGATCTTAGCTACTCAACAGAAACTTAGAGGAAATGTACCAAAATATGATTATAAGTGGTTATTCTAGTGTCGTGGGGAATATGGTTGCTGTTTCCTGCTTTCCTTTATGCTTTAGAGTTTTACTAATCTAAAGGAAAAGATGTGATAAACTCAACTAAATAAACTTCTGAAGATGCTTAGTTTTTTTCTCCCTGTAGAATTATTAAAGCTAAGAAACCAGATGGTATTCACTTTGCTGCACCGTACTAGCAAATTTGCTGCTGAAAAGGAGACACAGCTTGCCTCTTTGCCTCAGATAATTGAGGAGGAGAAAACCTGTAAATACTGTTCACAAATGAACAACTGTGCTCTTTATAGCAGGTAAGTGCACTCTTCCAAACGCAGTAATTCAAGGTGAGCGTGAATTCAGTATAACACTGTTGGCTGATCTGTCGTTGATGATTTTGTGTTGTGTTTTTTTTTGTTTTGTTTTGTTTCTTGTTTTTTATGTATTTGGTGCAGGATCTTACTGCACAGCTTGGAATCATAGTGATCCCCCTGTTTTCAGCCTGCTCAGCACTGGGATTATAGGCATGATTGTGATGTGTGGTGCTGGGGATCGAACCCTGGTCCCTGTGCTTGCCAAAGCAGGTGCTTAGTCCACTGAGCGATGCTTACCAGCCCATGTTGTGTTGTTTTGTACTACTGGGAAACTGAGGCCAGGGGCTTCATATTGAGCTGTATCCCCATACCCTTTTCATTTCATGCTTTTATTTGGTATAGTATTGAAATAAAGGGAATGGGGGGAGGGGTTATGTTTATATTCTCAAGCAATTTCCTATTCCATTTTTTTTGGTAAATAGTAGAATGCTTTTAAAACTTTTTCTGAAGGGTTTTTTGTTTTGTTTTGTTTTTTGGCGGAACCGGGGATTGAACTCAGGCCCTGGCGCTTGCCAGGGAAGCACTTATTCTACACTTTTTTTTTTTTTTTTGGTGGAACCGGTGATTGAACTCAGGCCCTTGCACTTGCCAGGGAAGCGCTTATTCCATTGAGCCATCTCCCTGGCCCCGTGAAGCACTTATTCTACTGAGCTATCTCCCCGGCCCTGCCGAAGGTATTTTAATTTTACTACATATAGTTCTTTCCTCTTCCTCATCTCCTTCTCCTTCTTCCTTTTCAGATAGGGTTTTTCTTTGTAGTTTAGGCTGGCTTCAAATTTGTGGAGACAGGGCCAGGGAGATGGCTCAGTGGAATAAGCGCTTCCCTGGCAAGCACAAGGGCCCAAGTTCAATCCCTGCTTCTGAAAAAAAACAAAAAAGAAAAAACAAATTTGTGGAGACACTCCTGCCTCAATCTCCTAAGTGCTAGGATTATAGGCATGTACCACCACATCAAGCTTTATTGCATATAGTTTCTGTGAAGTGAAGTAATTTTAGGATTTGGGAAACTGGTTCGGAAAAATATAGTTGAAGTTTTTTTTTTTTTTTTTGTGTGTGTGTGTGTGTGTGTGTGTGTGTGGCCAGCTCAGCCCACCAGGGGGCGGGGCTGGCTGGCATGTGGTGCTGGGGAATTGAACCGTGGTCCCTGTGCTTTGCTGAGCTTGTTTTAAGTAGGCGCTTTAGACCACTGAGCCATCTCACCAGCCCCGAGTTGAAGTATTTTGAATACAAGTTTCCTTGCCAGGCATGGTGGTGCATACCTGTAATCCCAGTGTTTAGGAGGCTGAGGCAAGAGGATCATTTGAGTTTGAGGTCAGCCTTGGCTACACAGTGAGTTCAAGGCCAGCATGGTCTACTTACTGAGGTCCTGTCACAATAAAACAAAACAAAAACAACAAAAAACCCCATTTCAAATGATTCTCCACATCTTAGATTGACTTGCTTATGTTATAGAGCTAGGTGTACAAATACTGTCGTTTCAAGAAACATACAGTTGTATAAAAGGCCGAAACTTGTTGTGTATGAGAATGAAGATTAATGTATAGCGAGATTAAATTGTTTGATTGATAGTCATGGGAGGCAAAATAATAACATTGAATTTCTTACACAGTTTTTGTTTTGTAAATAGCCACGTGACTTATAAAGTTGCTTTTAAGGAAAACTTGGGTTGGGGTTGTTGGACATTATCGCCAGCATGTATGTGTACTTAATTTAGAAAAATGTTACTTCATAGCAAGGCAGAGCAATGCTGTACAAGAGAACAGCTCTAACAAAGACTTTGGTATTTAGAGCAGTGGAGCAGCAGATGGAGGATAGTTCAGTCCCCGTGGTCATGCTGCCCAGAATACAAGAGGCTACCGAGCACCTGAAGCCCACACACTTACAGTATTTCAGCCTTTGGTGTCTCATGTTAACCCTGGAGTCACAGTCAAAAGATAACAGACAGAGTCATCAGAATATCTGGTTTGTGCCTGCCTCTGAAATGTAAGTACCCATCGCGCACAGTGACGTGCTAGTCACGGTAGTGCTTGCTGTGGCGCATGGCCTCGCACATGCGGTCACATGGTGCTCATTCCGTGACAGCTCTGGGTGCCGTCGGTGAGCTGTCCTGTGCAGAGCAGTGTCTGTCCTCAGTGCGTACTGCCGCAGCCCTCAGCGACGCGCCTACATGCACCAGAGATGGGCTGTGGCTCCAGAGATCGCACTGCAGCCTGCAGACGTCGCTTTGCATGCCCGAGGCCTTGGGTTTGATCCCTGGCACCACATCTGGAAAACTAAAGAAAAATGTTTGTTTGAAAATTAGTGCCAGGGGTATAGCTTAGTGCCACAGGCACCTGCCTGGCGAGCACAAAGTCCTGAGCTCCATTCCCAAGACCCCCCCCAAAAAAAACCCCACCAAAAGTGATTAGTAAATTCCTTTTGTATCACTGATATAGGTATAAACTAGAATGTGTCTGTTACTTAGTGGTACAATGAAAATCAATGATGTTTTATTTGCATTTTAAGATACTAATATTTCAGTAAAATTATATATTAGAGGGTCCGGGGAGATGGCTCAGTAGGATAAGTGCTTGACTGGCAAACTCAAGGATCAGAGTTCAATCCCCCGTTCTGCCAAAAAAAAAAAAAAAAATTAGAAGTTTGTGTTGTTCTCTAAGCTACTTTTTTTTTTTTTTTTTAATTGTGATGCCAGAGATCAAACTCAGGACATTGCATTTGCCAGCTTAAGCCACTGAGCTATATCCCTTGCCCTTCTCAGCTACTTATAAAGTTAGAATTTTGCATCTTCTGCAGTAATATTCATGTAAAATTTAGTTGTCCTGGATCCATTTGTCTTTCCAGAATGAATATTGATGACAGTGTGACTGTAGAATAATTTGGCCAGTTGTAGTAAAGACACACCTGTAAGCTCAGCACTCAAGAGGTTGAGGCAGGAGGATTAGTATGAATTTGAGCCACCCTGGGCCATGTAGTGAGTTTAAGGCCAGCCTGGACTACATAGTGAGACCTTGTCTCAAAAAACAAAAAAGGATCGAAGGATCTTTATTTTATAGTTTTAAAATGGAGCTGTTGTGCTGGAGAAAGCTCACACATGGTTGCAGTTAGGTTGCTTAAGTACAGTGAGTCCTTCAAGTGTACCCAGCAGTGCACATGCCTCTGAGGGTTGTGGTTACGTGAGAGCAGCATCAGAGAGGCTGTAAATGCTAGCTACTTCTTAGATAGGAGCACTGGGATTATCAGCTGGCTTTTCGTTTGGCTTTGGTTTTGGTTTTTTGAGACAGAGTCTAACTATGCAGTTCAGGCTGACGAGCTCAGGCTGGTCTTGAATGCATAAGGGTTCTCCTGCTGGGATTACAGGTGTGTGCCACCAGGCCCAGCTTTTAACCATTGTAATAACAATTACAGGTCCCCTTGATGGCACAAGGCTGTCCTCATTAGGTTCTGGAGCACATGGTCGCCTCTGTAACGGTTCTTGCATCAGCACAGAAGCTGGGGTACCCGTTGGGCACCAGTGTGCTGAACTCCACGTCCAGAGATCCTGAGCTGTGGGTGCAGCGGGCTGGTGGGGAGAGATCACACACAAACTGAGAGAGGAGTGTTGACTTAGCTTTTGTGACACTTTATATAGTCAGAAACATAAAATAGGGTGGGACTAAATAAAAGCATTATTGCATGGGGGACATAAGCAAGTTGCGTGGAAAAACGCAGGTGATGTAAACAGGAGCTTTGTTTCTTTCTTTTACAGGGAGAAGAGTGGTGGCTGCATTGGCAGCCTGATCAGAACAGAACCTGCAGAGAGAGTTTGTGATGGACAATACTTGCATAACTTCCAGCGTAAAAATGGTGCCATGCCTGTCACGAATCTAATGGCAGGAGACAGAGTTATTTTAAGTGGAGAAGAGAGATCACTTTTTGCTCTGTGCAGAGGATATGTAAAGGAGATTAACATGGCAACAGTAACTTGTTTATTAGACAGGTAACGAAAATGCTCCTTTTTTTGATAACAGCTTTATTAGCATATAGTGACCATACCACACCCCCACTGAGGGAGCCCTGCTACCTGCTCCTCCCTGCCCCTCAGTACCTGCCGTTTTGCTTCCTGTCTGTCTGGATTATGGTGTCAGTTTCACATCTGACCTTTTTTACTTACTGTAATATATACAAGATTCATCAGTGTTTCAGCATGGCTGGCTCAATCAGTCTCTTTCTCTCTCCCTCCCTCCTTCCCTCCCTTCATCCCTTCCTTCCTATTTTCTCCTTTTTTTGTGATTAGATAGTTACTACATGGTATGGTTGGGCCAGTCTGTTCACGCATTCACTAGCTAACGGACATTTGAGTGTAAATAGTAGTCTGTGACTATTCACTTACACATAGTTATGTTTCTCTGAGACTCTGGTTTTTTTTTTTTTTTTTTGTGGAACCGGGGATTGAACTCAGGCCCCTGAACTTGCCAGGCAAGCGCTTATTCTACTATTCTACTGAGCTATTTCCCCAACCCCTTACACATAGTTATGTGATCATATTTTCATATTCTTTTTTAAAAAATTTTATTTATTTGTGTGTGTGTGTGTGTGTGTGTGTGTGGCCAGCTCAGCCCACCAGGGGGCGGGGCTGGCTGGCATGTGGTGCTGGGGGATTGAACCACAGTCCCTGTGCTTTGCTAAGCCTGTTCTAAATAGGTGCTTTAGACCACTGAGCCATCTCACCAGCCCCATATTTTCATATTGTTATAGCTGCTTAGGAGTAGAATTGCTGGGTCATGTGCTCATTTCATGTTTACTATTTGGAGAGACTGTCAAACTTTTATTGAGTGTATTGTGTTCTGTGCTAATGTGCACATAACCTTCTCTGATCCCCACAACGGCATGTGTGTCAGGCAAGTACATACCTGTCCCCTTGCATTATGTAGTTTATTCTCCTAGTTCTGTAGGCATTCACAATTTTGTTCCCTCCTTTTAAAAAGGTTTTTCCCTTGGTAGCTGTGATTTAAAGTATACTTATTTTGGTGAAAGTAAGTTGACAAGAGAAAAATACTAAGTAAATAGAATAGTTGGCCTGAAAATCAGTGGCAGAGACCAGACCCACATTCACAAATGTCTATATCCTCCATCTTAGCTACTTCCCTTATTGCTGAAACAAAATACCCAGCCCCCGAAGTTAAGGCTCATAGGCCATAGAAATTTCAGTCTGTAGTCAGCTGGCTCCAAGGCAGCGTGGCATGGCAGAGGGGAAACAGCTCATGGGCAGGAGGCTGCGAAGTAGGGAAGTAGCCGAAGCCGCTCCCTTTTGTCCCTTCCAGCCTACTGCCCTTTGGTAACTGCCCCCCTCTCCAAGGTGGGCTTTTTCTTTACCCACACCCAGAATATGCAAGCTAACCAGAGCTTTATTTATTTAAACATATTTAGTACAAGGTCTCACTACACAGATCAGACTTGTAATGATCGTCCTGTTTTCAGCCTCCCAAGTGCTGGGATTACAGGCATGCGCCAACACGCCTAGTTTCAGTCACTGTCTCAGTGTACCTCGGGGGCCGGGGCTGGCATGGCATGGCACAGCACAGCAGGCAGGGATCAAACCCTGATCCCTGTGTCTGCCTAAATAGACATTTCAGTTCGCTGAACTATCTGGCCAGCCCTATCCTCGGTCTTAATATACCATATTTAGAAAGCTTCATTGGATTTTTTCAAGTGTTATGAGGTTTTTGTTTTTGTGCTGGAAATCGAACTCAGGTCCTTCCCCATGCTAGGCATTTGCTCTACCACTAGAGGTATATTCCTAGCCCTGTGACATTTTACCAGAAGCATAGATAATATTTGGATTTGCATTTCCCTGTGGATGAATTGTGAAGATTTGCGATAATAAGAGGCAAAATTAAAAAAAGAAAAAAACAAAACAAAGCAGAGAAACCTTGAAGTTGTTATAGTGGCTCAAGGTGGCTGTGGTTGAGGGCAAAGTTAGTGCTGGTGGAGAGGGGAGAGTGATTCTGGTAAGTATTCACGAAGTAAATATGGCAGGCAGCTGGGTTTGGCTTTGATCTGGGTCGCAGGAAGAGGATGAGGGAGAGAAGGATCACTACTCTGGTGTGGGTCCAAGAGTCATGCCTGAGAACAATACCAGAAGTGGCAGCTCAGGTGTGACAGGATGAGGAGTTCTTTGTGAGTAGAGGAGCTTTCATAGCCTGGGTTCTGCCCAGGTAGAGAGCTTATGCTTCCTGCAGACTCAAACCCGAAGTTTGGGCAATCAGCTGGGTAGGAGGAAAGCATAAGGCTGGTGGCAGCGATGGGAGAGTTGGAGGCTTGCTCTGGCCACCACTGAGGTGGAAGGAGTGGAGCTGTGGGAAGGGGCATCTGGTGAAAGGGATAGGCTGAGGAGTAGGGAGGCAGCAGCAGAGAGCGCTGTCCTCTAGGTGGGAAGAGGGTGCCATGTGTTTAGCATCCTTCTGAAGGTAAGCGTGGTGACTCAAGGTCAAGTGGACCTAGAGCACATGCTACAGGCTTCTGGTTGTCCATTGCTTTGCTGGTGTGCTCCATGTCCCCTTTGCCTCCAGTCATGGCCAGATGCTGTCCTTCACGAGCAAGTGTGAACCAGGAACTGAGAGCTTTTCTTTCATTCTTCTGGTAGCTATTTGAATAGCTGTTCTGGCCCATTTATTCTTTTGGCAGGAAACAGTATATTTCTTATAGAGACCATGTGAAATGAAAAACACATGTTTGTTTTGCTGTTTCAGGAATTTGTCAGTACTTCCTGAATCGACTTTGTTCAGGTTAGACCAGGAAGAAAAAAACTGTGATATAGACACGCCATTAGGAAATCTCTCTAAATTGATGGAAAACACTCAGCCAAGGTTTGTAACAGTGAATAAATCTAAACTTCTTCCTACTTTCCTAAGAGATACTACTAGAAGAACCTTTTGTTTTTCAGCAAGAGACTTCGAGAGTTAATCATCGACTTCTGGGAGCCTCAGTTTATACCCTACCTCAGTTCTGTCCTTCCACATGATGCAAAGGATACAGTGGCCAGCATTCTAAAAGGTATGTTATAATCAGCACTTTGAGTCATTTTCCCTGGTTCTATTTGTCAAGGAAGGGCTTATTCCACTGAGCCATCTCCCCAGTCCCCCCTGGTTCTATTTGTAACTAAGCTATGTTGTAACCTAATTGCTTTTCCTTTCTTTGGTTTCACAATGCAGTTCAAGCTGGTCTTGGACTCACTTTGTAGCCCAGGCTGACCTGAAACTCTTAGTGATCTTAGTGCTGGGATGCCACACTCAGCCTAATTTCTTTTTTTTTTTTTCAGCCTAATTTCTTAATAATTTATTAGACTTGCAATTATAATGATTAGTCAGAGACCATTTGGAAATAGTTTGTATATAAAAATTACAGGCTGGGCGCCCCCCGGAGCTGGAAGTGCAACTCTTGGGATCCTCGGAGGCTACGGAACTGGAGGCGGAGGCGGCTGGGGAGGTCCGAGCGATGTGACCAGGCCGCCATCGCTCGTCTTTTTCTCTCTCCCGCCGCCTCCTGTCTCGAAAATAACTTTTTCTAAAAACTCTATAAAGAAAAGAAAAAAGTAGCCGTCCGCTCCTCATACCCTCCCCTTCCTCTCAGCCGTCGGGTCTGTGAGGGAGCCCGGGGTGGCCGCTCCGCTGTCGGGGCCGAGCCCCGGCCGCCCCGGGCCGCCCCGCCCGCCGCCCCCATGCATCCCTTCTACACTCGGGCCGCCACCATGATAGGCGAGATCGCCGCCGCCGTGTCCTTCATCTCCAAGTTCCTCCGCACCAAGGGGCTCACGAGCGAACGGCAGCTCCAGACCTTCAGCCAGAGCCTGCAGGAGCTGCTGGCAGAACATTATAAACATCACTGGTTCCCAGAAAAGCTGTGCAAGGGATCAGGTTACCGTTGCATTCGCATCAACCATAAAATGGATCCTCTGATTGGACAAGCAGCGCAGCGGATCGGACTGAGCAGTCAGGAGCTGTTCAGGCTTCTCCCAAGTTCACTCACTCTCTGGGTTGACCCCTATGAAGTGTCCTACAGAATCGGAGAGGATGGCTCCATCTGTGTGCTGTATGAAGCCTCGCCAGCAGGAGGTAGCACTCAAACTGGCTCCAACGTCCAAATGGTAGACAGCAGGATCAGCTGTAAAGAGGAACTTCTCTTGGGCAGAACAAGCCCTTCGAAAAACTACAATATGATGACTGTGTCAGGTTAAGATAGGGTCTGTGGATCGATCATCTTATAATGGATGGATAAATTGGATTTTTGCTTTGGGTGGGCTCCTCTTGGGGATGGATTATGGAATTTAAACCATGTCACAGCTGTGAAGATCTGGCACAAGATAGAGTGGTAAAAAATTTTTTTTCAAAGTGACAGTGCCATAGTTTGGACAGTACCTTTCAGTGATTTAATAGCCTGTGAGTCCAAGTGTATGATCACTATTTGCTAGGGAGCGAGGGCCTAGGCTGGTTTCAGTTTCTCCCACACCTGAATTTTTTTTTTTTTAATTATTTTTTACAGCAGTCCCTCTAAAGAGAATAGCTATTTCAGAACACCTTTCTCTGCACTAGACCTTGGCAGAGGAATTTGCACTATTACACTTGAAAATTGTTACCGATAACCTTTTCTGGCAGCTCAGTAGGAAAGTTTGTTTTAAACGTGGTAGTACTGGAAATTTTATGACAAGACTTTTACCTAGCACTTATATATGTAGAAATGTACATAAAGACAAACTAGTAAGCATGACCTGCGGAAATGGTCAGACCTTGTATTGTGTTTTTGGCTTTGAAAGTAGCAAGTGACCAGAATCTGCCATGGCAACAGGCTTTAAAAAAGACACTGTCTCAACTGTGGTGTTAGCGCCAGCCAGCTCTCTGTACATTTGCTAGCTTGTAGTTTTCTAAGACTGAGTAAACTTCTTATTTTTAGAAAGTGGAGGTCTGGTTTGTAACTTTCCCTGTACTTAATTGGGTAAAAGTCTTTTTCCACAAACCACCATCTATTTTGTGAACTTTGTTAGTCATCTTTTATTTGGTAAATTATGAACTGGTGTAAATTTGTACAGTTCATGTATATTGATTGTGGCAAAGTTGTACAGATTTCTATATTTTGGATGAGAAATTTTTCTTCTCTCTATAATAAATTGTTTCTTATCTTGGCATTTAAAAAAAAATAATAAAAATTACAGGCTGGCGAGATAGTTCAGCAGTCTAAAAGCACCTGCTTAGGCAAGCACGCAGGGACTGTGGTTCATTCCTCAGCACCACATGCCGCACCAGCCCCACCCCAGGGTGGGCAGAGCCAGCCACCAAAAAAAAATCAATCCCAACAATCAGGAGGCTGAGGCAGGGAAATACTGGGAGCTTGAGGCCAGCCTGGACAAAGATAGCAAAAACATATCTTTAAAAAAAAATAAATAAGTAAAAGTCAACATAACTTTTTTTTTTTACTTTGAAAAGACATGTTAAAGCAGGCGTGGTGATGCATGCCTATAATCCTAGCACTCAGGAGGCTGAGGCAGGAGGATTGTTGTGAGTTCGAGACCAGCTTGGGCTATAAAGTGAGCTCAGGGCCAGCCTGAATTGCATAGTGAGATCCTGTCTCAAAAAGACCAGCAAAAAAAAAAAAAAAAGATGTATTGAAAAACAAGTGCAGACAGGGAATGCTTTTCTTCTGAAATAGTGAATTTGTGTATTGAAATTAAGTAATCTTATTCTTGTTATTTTTTAATTTAAATGTAGGTTTAAATAAGCCTCAGAGACAAGCCATGAAGAAGGTTCTTCTTTCAAAAGATTATACACTCATCGTAGGCATGCCTGGGACAGGAAAAACCACCACCATCTGCTCCCTTGTAAGGTTCTTTTTTTTTTTTTTTTTTTTTTTTTTTTTGGTGGAACCGGGGATTGAACTCAGGCCCTTGCGCTTGCCAGGGAAGCACTTATTCCACTGAGCCATCTCCCCGGCCCAAGGTTCTTATTTTCGTTTAGAAACTGTATCAGCTTCCCTCCATGCAGAGGATGTGGTATTCTCGGGGCCTGAATATCATAGAAGGGCTGAGTTTTCACTCAAAATCTTTATTTCAAATTAACTTTGTAGACTGACAAGAGAAAATAATAAAGGTGAATTACAGAAATTACTCAAATACAATAGAGTAATTTCAAATACGATGACTTAATATACGCATGTTGAAAATTATCTAGAATTAAAAGTGATGCTGTGTTTCTTCTTCATTATTAGGTGAGAATCCTCTATGCCTGTGGCTTCAGTGTTTTGTTGACCAGTTATACACATTCTGCTGTTGACAATATTCTTTTGAAGTTAGCCAAGTTTAAAATTGGATTTTTGCGTTTGGGTCAGACTCAGAAGGTTCATCCGGATATCCACAAATTTACAGAGGAGGAGATTTGCAGATCAAAATCCATTAAATCCTTGTCTGTTCTAGAAGAGCTGTATAACAGTCAAGTAGGTACTGTTATTGTATGCGAATGCTGGCAGTAATTTCCGTGGGCAGAATTAAGGGAAAAAATGATTCTCTGGGAGCTTACACTAACCAGATGTACATGTGATTATGTATTTCATAGGGCCTTTTTTTTTTTTTTTTCCCTTTTTAATGTATTTGTTACAAGGTCTTACTATGCAGCTTCAACTCATAGTGATCCTCCTGTTTTCAGCCTCCCCAGTGCTGGGATTACAGGCATGCACCACCATGCCTAGTCTTGGTGGCTGGCTCAGCGCACCCTGGGGATTGGGCCAGCCCTGGCTGGCATGCGGTGCCAGGGATCAAACCCCGTCCCTGGCCTAAGATAAAGAACAACTTAAAACGTAGCCAGTATTTCTATAAACATGTAAAACAGGCCCCAAGTTACTTTGGGGCTGGAGGGTTAGAAGCGCCTTCTTGAACAAAAGCAGTCAGGGGCAGCGGGCTACAGTTCGATCCCCAGCACTACATGCCGCACCAGACCCATTTATAAGGCAGCCTGAGCCAGCTTTAAAAAAAAAAGAAAAGAAAAAGGAATCCTAGGTAGGTAGCCACTTAGTCTGCTAAGCTATCTTTTTTTTTTTTTTTTTGGCTGAACCGGGGATTGAACTCAGACCCTTGTGTTTGCCAAGGAAGCACTTATTCCACTGAGCCATCTCCTCAGCCCTGTACTAAGCTATTTTGCCGGACCTTCATAGGGCCATTTTATTCATTTATAATTTACTGTTTCCTGGGGCTGGGGATATAGCTCAGGGCACAGATGCCTGCCTGGAAAGCACAAGTTCCTGAGTTCCGTTCCAGTACCAAAAAAAAAAAAAAAAAAGTTACTGTTTTCTTTGGAATTGAAATGAGTTTTTGGTTCTTATTCATATTCCTTTTTGGTTATTACCTCCTCCTAGTTTCAAATATCTTAGAAAACTAATACTCAAGATTATTTGGTGAATTTGAATCAAGCAGTGATATTTAAGTCTTATGTTAAATATGTCTACTTTTTCTCATTGCTGAGATAAAATACCCAAAGTTAAGAGGAAAGGTTTACTATAGCTCATAACTGTACAGGTTTCAGTTCATAGTCAGCTGGCTCCACAGCAGGGCGGCTTGGCACAGGGGCATTACAGAGGAGAAAAGTCCATGGTAGGGCAGGCACAAGGCAGCAAGCGACAGGCAACCATGGCAGTCCTTTCTGCCCCTTATATTCCATTCTTAGGGCAGTAGCACTGGGGGCCTGGGGGTGGCTCCCATTGTCCTCTCTAGACCTATTCCAGACCAATCAGTGGACTGATTTAGTAATCCCGCACCCTTGATCCCAGCATTGCGCCCTCTAGATTCAGACATCTCTGAAAAGCCCCTCCTATGGCTACACAAAGCTACAATAGAACTAATTTTTATTATTTAATGTCTTTTGCTGAGAAGTCATAAGTGATTTTTCTTTTTCTTTTCTTTTCTTTTTTTTTCTGGTGGAACCGGGGATTGAACTCAGGCCCTTCCACTTGCCAGGGAAGCACTTATTCCACTGAGCCATCTCCCCAACCCCTTAAGTGATATTTTTGAAGATCACCTAAAATTAAATTCAATTTTGTTCTTAGGTTAGATGTAATAAACTATTCCTTTAGTGTTAGTATAACCAGGAGCCAGCCACGTGTGATGGTGCATGCCTGTAATCCCAGCAACCAGGGGCTGGAGCAGAAAGATCATAAGTCCCAAGTCCACTCTGAGCAACTTAGCAGCTTAACCCTGTCTCATAAGAAAAATAATATAGAGCTGGGGAGATGGTTCAGTGGAATAAGCACTTCCCTGGCAAGTGCAAGGGCCTGAGTTCAATCCCCGATTCCTCAAAAAAAAAAAAAAGAAAGAAAAGAAAAGAAAAATAATATAAAGACCTGGGGATGTGCCTCAGCAGACCCTAAGTTTGATCCCTAATAAACTGATCCCAGCCAACCAACAGCCACCTACAGAAAGCAACCAAACACATGGACATGGGCAGGATTAGTGTTCATCACGTGTCTCGTTCTTGCATATTGTACCTGCTACCATACAGTGTGTAAATGTCTGGGATTGGCATTTTTCACTCAGCCTAGGGATCTGAAGATTCACCCAGGTGGTTGTATGAATTTAATAGTTTCTTCCCTTCCATTGTTGAGTACTGTTCCATAATGTGCTTAGCCATCACCACTGACAATAGGAATTGTTTCTAGTATTTTGGCTGTTACAATGTTGGAATGTAACTCTGTGTTTCTTTGGGATAAGTTCCTACGGATGCATGTTTTGTTTCAGTGTGTCTTTATTTAGATTGTATTCTCTTCTGTGTGCCTGTTCCCTGATTCTTTTTTCATTGATTACTTAATTTCAGTTACTGTGTTTTCAGTTCTCCAGTTCCCATTTACACCATCTTTTCTGGGCCTGTGTGTTTCTGTCACCTTGGTGCTGGGGCCGGTGGATTTATTTTTTCCATTTAGCGTGAGATTTTCCTGTTTCTTTTGTTGAACCTTGAGCGTTTGTGTTATATTGAGCGTTTCCATCCGGACAAGCATCCTCATCAGGTGGAGCTTCTGCTCTCCCTGAGGTAGCTGAGAAGTAGGGCTCTCAGCCTGGTCTCCACGGATGTTGCTGGTCGGAGATTGACCCCATCACCTACCTCCAGTGAAAGCCCTACTCTCACCTCTGCATGTTCCAGAGTGAGCAGCTGCCTTTCCATGCAGGGAAAGGGAGAAAGTGGTCGCTAACCTGCTGCGCTGGCACCACGGGATGAGGCTCTGTGATTTTACTGGGTGACTGGTGATAGGGAGTGGTCAGTGGGATTGCTGGAGTTTTCTGTCCTTTCGGCTTTCTCTGTGGCTGTAGAGAGCAGGCATGTGTTGAAGCCATTCCTGATTTCCACCATCAGTGATCCCAGTTGATGGCATCTTTAATTCAAGAGTGGTTCAGGTGAGGCAAAAAGAAAGCCCGAGGGATCGTGTGCATGTTGTTTCCCTGCCAGAGCTCCCTAGTCTGCTTTCCCTTCATCTGCTGGGTCATCCTTTGTTCGACTTGTACATAATGTCCCAGGTTTTTTTGTGGTCCTGGGCATTGAGCCAGGTGCTTCCTGCGAGCGGGGCCCTACAGCGCTGCAGCCCAGCCGTGTCCCCAGGCTGCAGTGGTTCTTTGTGCGAAGATGAAGGGAACACACTCCTTCCAGAATGGAAATTTAGGTGATATTTAAAAAAAAAATCTTAACTGCCTCTTCCCCGTGTGCCGTGCTGGTGCCACTCCTGGGGCACACTGAAACAGTTGAGACTGGGCATGGTGGTATGCGCCTGTAATCCCAGTGCTTGGGAGGCTGAAAATAGGAGAATCACTACGAGTTCGATCTATGTAGTGAGACCCTGTAGACCCTGTCTTAAAATATAAAAAAAGAGGGGCCAGGGAGATGGCTCAGGGGAATAAGCGCTTCCCTGGAAAGCACAAAGGCCAGAGTTCAATTCCCAGTTCTGCCAAAAAAAAAAAAAAAAATGGTGTTGCCTTTTGTCTTAGTAACTTTTTCTTGTTGCTGAGACAAAATACCTGACACCCAAAGTTAAAGAAGGAAAGGCTTATTTGGCTTACAGTTTGTAGCAGTTTCAGGCCATAGATGGCTAGCTCCAAGAGGAGGGTGTGGCAGAGAGTATCACAGAGGAGAATAGCCCATGGCAGGGCAGCCTCACCCAGACTATTCTAATTCCAATCAGGGGATTCATTTAGTTTTTAGTATTATTTTATTTGATACAGGGTCTTGCTGTGCAGTTCAGACTCATAGTGATTCTCCTGTCTCAGCCTCCCCACCACTGGGATTATAGGAGTGCCCCACCACGCTTGGTTTTGGGGCTGGCACAGAGTATTTGGAGTTCTTGGGCTAACACAGCATGTGGTACCAGGGATCAAACATGGGTCCTTGCGCTTGCCAGGCAGGTGCTTAGACCGCTGTGCTATCTTCCCAGCCCTGTGGACTCATTTGGGATCCTACAGGCTAGATCCAGCCAGCTTCAGAGGCCCCATCTATGAGTGCATGAGGCCTTGGGGGACATCTAGACACAAGCCAGAACACCTTAAATGTTTCAGATTTCCATTTGGAAATACTCCAATGTGAGTAATGTTCATAGTACCTGGAAAGTTCATTTGATTTTTTTTTTTCCTTTCATAGAAAAAAATAATATATTTTGCATGAATACATATTTTACAGTTAAACAATAGTAGAGGATTCCTGCTGCTAGGGACCAAAAAAATTATTTTTAGGGACTGGCATGTGGCTTAGTGGCACAAGTCCCTGACTGGCAAGCACAAGCTCCTGAGTTTGAGACCCAGTACCCATAAAAAATTATTTTTAAATGGGGGAGCTAGTGGTGCACACCTGTAATCCCAGCCCTCTGAGAGACTGAGGCAGAAGAACTGTTTGAGGCCAGCCTGAGCTACATAGTGAGTTCAAGGCCAACCTGGAATATACAGTGAGACCCTAGCTCAAAAAATAAGACAAGGATGTGTGTGTGTGTGTGTGTGTGTGTGTGTGTGTGTGTGTGTGAAAACCCATTTTCTTTTATGTATTAAGTAACTTTTCTTTCTTTTTAGCTTATAGTTGCAACAACATGTATGGGAATAAACCATCCAATATTTTCCCGGAAATCTTTTGATTTTTGTATTGTTGATGAAGCCTCCCAGATCAGCCAACCAGTTTGCCTGGGGCCACTTTTTTTTTCTCGGAGGTTTGTGTTGGTGGGAGATCACCGGCAGCTTCCTCCCTTGGTGCAGAACCGGGAAGCAAGGTAGGCAGGTGCTAAGTTTTAGGAGAGGTGGGGCTGTATGTGTTGCCGGGACTGGCCTGAACTCTCAGGGTCATGCGCACCTCTTGCCTTGACCTCTGACGTTGCTGGGCCTGCGGTTGCACACCACTGCGCAGCTGTTATTTTACTCTTGAGATGGATTCTTGCCAAGGGACTGTATAGGTACACTGATAAGCCTAAATTTGATTGGTTGATAGAACTCTTGGCATGAGTGAAAGCTTGTTCAAGAGGCTGGAGCAGAAGAAGAGTGCCGTGGTCCAGTTAACAGTGCAGTACAGAATGAACAGGTATGTATTGGTGTTAGCAGTGAGTCTTTTTCGTGTTTTATTTTCATCTACCAAGCTAATGCTGTACTTTACATCTCTTAGTACAATCATGTCCTTAAGTAATAAGCTGACCTATGAAGGAAAGCTGGAGTGTGGGTCAGACAGAGTGGCCAGCGCAGTGATTGCTCTGCCTAACTTTAAAGACGTCAAACTGGAACTGGAATTTTATGCTGATTATTCTGATAGTCCTTGGCTGAATGGAGTATTTGAACCAAGTAATCCTGTTTGCTTTCTCAATACAGAAAAGGTAAAAAACTACTTAATTTTTTTGTGTTCTGTTTAACTTTCTCAGTTTGTATTAGTGCCTGTCTTGTTGAGCAATCAGTTTAAAGACAAACAAGTGTGCATTTCTTGTGCCTCTGCACAGGAGGCTTTTCTTACTGCAGGCCCAATAGCTCTGGGAGAGACTTATTCCGGGGTCTGACAGGTATCAACCTTGACTTTTGTGGGTTTTTCTGGTGCTGAGATTGAACCCAAAGCTCTGTGCCTTAGGTCAGGTGCTCTGCCACTGAGCTACATCCCTACCCAGTTTTCAGGAAGGAAAGTGAGAAAGTGAGTCAAGCATCTGACTACACCTCTTAGGCAGGAAAGTGATACTGATCCTGCCAAGGGACTAGGTTTATGAGAGGACAGAAAGTAAAATAACTTAATGACCTCTAAAAACTTTTTTAAGTAAGCCTTTAGTTTTAGAGCAGTTTTGGGTTAATGGTAAAACTAAGCAGGAAATACATGGATTTCTATATACTTTTTCTTTTTCAATTTTTTTTTTTTTATTGTATTTAGTACAGGGTCTCACTGTGTAGATCGGACTCATACCTATCCTCCTGTCTTCAGTCTCCCAAGCGCTGGGATTACAGGTGTGTGCCATCACGCCCAGTCTCAAACCGCTTCTCAGGGCAGCCCGGGGGTGGGGCCGGCGCTGTACACTGGGGGTGGAACCCCAGCCCCTGCGCTCTGCCTGAGCAGGTGCTTTAGTCCGCTGAGCTATCTGGCCAAACCTTCCATTTACTTTTTTTTTTTTTTAAACTTTTTTTTTATTTAAATATTTATTTATTTAGTGTGTGGCCAGCTCAGCCCACCAGGGGGCGGGCGGGCTGGCATGTGGTGCTGGGGGGATTGAACCGAGGTCCCTGTGCTTTGATTGGCTTAGCTTGTTCTAAGTAGGTGCTTTAGACCACTGAACCATCTCACCAGCCCATTCCATTTACTTTTTGCCTTAACAAGTGTATATAAAAATCCTTTTACACCGTTGTTATTAAAATCATCACAGGGACATTAAACGGCTTAAGTTATTTCTAGGGACTAAGAATGAAGTCTTGACCCCTGTATTCTCAGGGTGATTCTCAGCCCTGAGTCGGTAGTTCAGGTAGTCGTGGAGCCTTTTACACAGGAATTACTGCAGAACAGTGATGGCCTTTAGAGACCATGTGCCCGACTGCAATCTCAAACCCACTTATTTACTGTGGGATATCAACATTGGCTAAACCTTAATACTTGGTAGAGTTGGGTTCATGCTGTGACTGGTGACATCATCACCTGGCCTGCTAGTCCTCTAGGAACAGCCTGGTGCGTTGTTACGTTCTGCTCAGCTGCTATGTAGTGCTGGGGCAACTTGGTCTGCAGCATGTACACCTTAGGTTCCCCTCCACACTCCACATAATCGTCTTTATTGTTAAGCTGGGGTGAACGGGAGGGGGCGTTGAGGGTGTAGCTCAGTGGCAGAACCTTTGTCTTTTCAGCTCCGTTATTTGTGTAAAAGGTATCACAAATTGTCAAAAGTGCCGATACTGGAGCCAGATCTAAGTTTGAGGCTTAGTATGAGGATTTGCTGTAAGGCTTCAGGCAAGTCACTTTTTATGCCTTTGATCCCTGAAGAAGGGGAAGTGACAAGACAGGTGTAGAAAACACAGGGTGTGGTCAAGTTTCCTAAGATTTTAGCCTGAACTATAGCATCTTTAGGATGGGTTGTGTTTGTCTGCTTTCTAGAAAGTGACTGTATTCATTTTTGCTGATTCTTAACTTTCACCTTTATTTTTTATTTATTTTTTTTCAAAATTTTATTGATAAACAGCAATGAGACAGTTTCAAATCGGAAGTACAGTTTCAACAAATAACACACTGCATATATTATTCTTAGTGATTAATTGCTGTACAATCACTTTTTTGTTCTTTCTTTTTTTTGTTTGGTGCTGGAGATCGAACTTGGTACTTTGCACTTGCCAGGCAGGTGCTTATGCTACCGAGCTATCTCCTAGACTCCACTTTCATCTTTAAAATTAGATTTCTTTTTTCCCTCATGTTTCCAAATATGGCTGCAAAGTATCCTCGTTGTCCTGAGATCGGTATAAAGGAACTACCTATTTTTCTGCTTAGGTTCCAGCACCTGAAAAAGTTGAAAAGAGTGGTGTGAGCAATATAGTGGAAGCCAAACTCATAGTTTTCTTGACTACAATGTTTATTAAGGTAATGTAGAATTTTCAAGGCTGATTAATATTTAGATATAGAATGATAGAGTACTAGACTGTAAGAAACTTAAGATCTGATGTTAGTTCCATTAATTTTATTTTTTTGTGGTACCAGGGATTAAACGCAGGCCCCTGGGCTTGCCAGGCAAACGCTTATTCTACTGAGCTATCTTCGAGGGCCCTAGCTCCATTAATTAAGATAATGAGACTAGAGCCCTATTTTTTTTTTTTTTATTAAAGGATTTTTTTTTAAATTATTTATTTATTTATTTATTGTGTGTGTGTGGCCAGCTCAGCCCACCAGGGGGCGGGGCTAGCTGGCATGTGGTGCTGGGGGATCGAACCGCGGTCCACTGTGCTTTGCTAAGCTTGTTCTAAGTAGGTGCTTTAGACCACTGAGCCATCTCTCCAGCCCCCTATTTTTTTTTAATTAATTTATTTATTTGTGTGGGGGGGGCCAGCTCAGCCCACCAGAGGGCAGGGCTGGCTGGCATGTGGTGCTGGGGGATTGAACTGCGGTCCCTGTGCTTTGCTGAGCTTGTTCTAAGTAAGTGCTTTAGACCACTGAGCCATCTCACCAGCACCTAGAGCCCTACTTTTGAGAAAATTTATCTAAAATGGTTAATTTTTTTATTTTATTTTTTTTTAAATGGTAAATTTTTTTTTAAATGTATTTAATACAGGGTCTACAGTTTCTCACTACACAGGTTGGACTTGTACTGATCCTCTTGTTTTCAGCCTCCCAAGTGCTGGGATTACAGGTGCACTCCACTAAGCCCACTCTCATTCCCTGCCCAGTCTCAGTCACTATCTCAGTGTACCCCAGGGCTGGGGCTGGGGCCGGTGCTGGCATGGCATGCTGAAGATCAAACCCCAGTCCCTGTGTCTGCCTAAGCAGGTGCTTTAGTCTGCTGAGCTATCTAAAATGTTTAATTTTTTTTGGCTAGGCGTGATGATGGTGCACTCCTGTAATCCTAGCTCATGGGAGGCTGAAGCAGGAGAATTGCCACAAGTTTGAGGTCAGCCTGGACTACAGACTACACAGTGAATTGAATACCAGGATAGACTACACAGAAAGACCCTGTCTTAAAAAACTTTCTAATAATTTTTTATAATTGCATTTGGGAATTTGCCTTTTTGTGATGTCGTCTATGTCTAGTAGTGTGAGTACTGTGCTGCAATCAGTATGATTCGGCATTGGGAACTTCTGTGTAAGGAATAAGAGTGAAATGTCTTTCTGGGCACTGTTTTACTCTGTGGCAGTATGTTTTTAGTGGCCCACAAGCAGTTATGTTGCCTGAACCTCTAAAAATCACAGCAATGTCCAAGGGAGTTTTTCATCATGATTGGCACAGGCATGTATTCAAAACACATTTAGTACTTACTCCTTAAGTTGGAATGTCAGTTATAAACATGAGTTGGGTATGTAATGTAAATATATTTACCTTAATAAACTCAGTAAAGCTTAAAGAACTAAAAAAAAAAAAATCAGCCTTTTTCATTTTATTTTATTTTATTTTTTTAATTGTTTTTTTTTATTTATTTGAGAGAGAGAGAGAGAGAAAGAGAGAGAGAGAGTGAGTGTGTGTGGTGTGTGTGTGTGGCCAGCTCAGCCCACCAGGGGGCAGGGCTGGCTGGCATGTGGTGCTGGGGGATTGAACCGCGGTCCCTGATGCTTTGCTAAGCTTGTTCTAAGTAGGTGCTTTAGACCACTGAGCCATCTCTCCAGCCCCGAGCCTTTTTCATTTTAAATTGTGTTCTTTTCTATTTAGGCTGGATGTAATCCCTCTGATATTGGTATCATTGCACCATACAGACAGCAATTAAAGATCATCAATGATTTATTGGCACGTTCTTCTTTTGGGATGGTCGAAGTTAATACAGTAGACAAATACCAAGGAAGAGACAAAAGAATAATCCTGCTATCTTTTGTTAGAAATAATAAGGATGGAACTGTAAGTGAATTATGTTTGCAGATATTGGCTCAAATATTGTTTCATTTGAGGTGTTGTACCACACCCCTACACCTAGTTTTTTGTTTTGTTTTGCTTGTTTTGTGGTAATGAAAGGCCTTACGCACAGTAGGTAAGTGGTCTAACACAGCTAAATCTCTTTCTTTGATCTTAATCACTTCTTTTTTGTACCAGAGATCAAACTCTAGACCTTGTGCTTGCCGGTCAGGCTCTTGTGCCACTGAGCTATATCCCCTGCTCTTTTTTTTTTTTTTTTTTTCCCTGCTCTTTTAAGTACGCCATTCAATGCTATGAAGTACTCTCACAGTATTGTTTAAAAATTATTTATTTATTTTTATTTATTACATTTATTTATTGTATGTGTGTGTGGCCAGCTCAGCCCACCAGGGGGCGGGGCTGGCTGGCATGTGGTGCTGGGGGATTGAACCGCGGTCCCTGTGCTTTGCCAAGCTTGTTTCAGGTAGGTGCTTTAGACCACTGAGCCATCTCTCCAGCCCCTCACAGTATTGTTACAGAGAGCTCCAAAAACGTCATTTTGCACATTAACAGTTTTGTTCTCACCTGAATAGTTCTCCATTCCTCTACTGCCAAGCCTGTTATTACCCAGCATTCTACTTTGTCTCTAAATTTGATTTTTTGAGGAACTCCACCGAAGTAGAATCAGTTTTTATCTTTATGTGCCTGGCTTATTTCACTTAGGTTTATTCATGTTGTAGCATATCATAGGATTTCCTTTTTTAAGACAGAATGTGCCTTAGTTTATGTACACTGCATTTTATTTATGCATTTATCTATAGATGGCCTTTGACGTTGCTTTCACTTTCAGCTGTTGTGGTTGGGCTTTTTTTTTTTCTGTATTTAGGACAGGGTCTGTAGGGTATCACTGTGTAGATCAGACTCGTAGTGATTCTCCTGTTTTCAGCCTCCCAAGCGCTGGAATTACAGGCCTGTGCGCCACCACGCCCAGTCTCAGTGGCCATCTCAGCGCAACCCGGGGGTAGGGCGGGAGCTGGCATGGCACAGTGCTCCAGGATTGAACCCTGGCCACTGCACTGTGCCGAACCAGGTGCTTTAGTCCACTGAGCTATCAGGCCAGTCCTTTTTAAAGATTTTTTTTTTTTTTTTTTTTTGGCTGGCTCAGGCTGCCTTAATGACAGGTCTGGTAAGACATGTGGAACTAGAATCAAACCACGGTTCCCAGTGCCTGACTGGATTTGCCCAAGCAGGCATTTAAACAAATGAGCTAACTGGCAAGTCCCCTAAAGCTTTTTAATTTAATTTAATTTAATTTAATTTATTTATTTATTTATTTGCAGAACCGGGGATTGAACTCAGGCCCTTGCGCTTGCCAGGGAGGCGCTTATTCCACTGAGCCATCTCCCGGCCCCATAATTTTATTTATTTATTTTTATTTTTTTGCAGAACTGGGGATTGAACTCAGGCCCTTACGCTTGCCAGGCAAGCGCTCATTCTACTGAGCCATCTCCCCGGCCCTGGCTTTTTTAATTTTGTGGTTGAAACATTTTCTTTCTTTCTTTCTTTATTTATTTATTTTGTCTTTCTGACACAGGGTCTGGCTATGCAGTTCAGGCTAGCCTTGAGCTCACTTTGTAGCCCAGGCTGGTATCAAACTTGAAATGCTCCTCCTGCTTCAGCTTCCCGAGTGCTGGGATTACAGGTGTGCACCATCATGTCCAGCAGTGGAAGCATTTTAACAAGAGCTCCTTTTATGCATTTGAATTTGAAGATAATTTCAGGTTTTACTTGTTTGAAATTTTACGTCACGGGGCCGGGGAGATGGCTCAGTAGAATAAGCGCTTCCTTGGTAAGCGCAAGGGCCTGAGTTCAATCCCTGGTTCTGCCAAAAAAAAAAAAAGCCAAAGTGAGGGTGGACTTTGGCTCACTGTGTAGTCCAGACTAGCCTTGAACTCTCAGCAGTCTTCCATCCTCAGCCTCCTGAGAGCTAGGCTTTATAAGCCTGTGCTACCACGCCTGGCTGCTTTTGAGTTTTTGCAACCTTTCAGACTATTCAGACACTTCCACTTCGAGGTGTTGCTGTTCACAGGAGGGAGATTTCATTTTATTCTCTCAACTGCACAGTTGTCCATTCTGTAGATATATCATTATGTTTAGCTACTTTTCTGTGTCTTTTTTTATAATTTTTACTACTATTACAATTCTACAGTGAGTGGAGAGAGCACTAGTTTTTTTATTTTTTATTATATGTAATTAATAATTTTAGGGCCCGGGGAGATGGCTCAGTGGAATAAGCACCTCCCTGGCAAGCGCAAGGGCCTGAGTTCAATCACCAGTTGTGGGGAAAAAAAATAATAATAATAATTTTAAATTATGGCTAGGGTATTACAACATACTTTTTTTTTGCGGAACCAGGGATTGAAACCAGGCCCTTGTGCTTGCCAGGCAAGCGCTTATTCTACTGAGCTATCTCCCTGGCCTCCCAACATACAATACTTGAAAGCTGGTATTGTAAGTTTTTTCAACTGCCTAGAATTTTGGGGGAGGGTACCAGGAGTCAAACTCAGGACCTTGCACTTGTCAATCAGGCATTATGTCACTGAGCTATATCCCTGCCTAGAATTCTTTGTGTAATCTGTATTTTAAAATTAGGAAAATATGGGGCCAGGGAGATGGCTCAGTAGAGTAAGCACTTCCCTGGCAAGCACAAGAGCCTGAGTTCAATTCCCATTTCCACCAAAAAAAATAAATAAATAAAAATAATAATAATAAATAATTAGGGGGCCGGGGAGATGTCTCAGTGGAATAAGCACTTCCCTGGCAAGCACAAGAGCCTGAGTTCAATTCCCATTTCCACCAAAAAAAATAAATAAATAAAAATAATAATAATAAATAATTAGGGGGCCGGGGAGATGTCTCAGTGGAATAAGCACTTCCCTGGCAAGCACAAAGGCCTGAGTTCAATCCCCGGTTCTACCAAAAAAAAAATATATATATATATAAAATAAGGAAAATAAGCTGGAGGTGGTGGTGCATGCCTACAATCTCAATACTTGGGAGGCTGAGGTAAGAGGATCCTTGTGAGTTTGAGGAAGACTCTGCCTAAAAAAAAGCAAGTGGATGAGTAAAACCGTGTTGCTTGTCAGAGCAAACTTAAATATACATTAACGAAAACTGAGAGAATTGAAAATTACATTTTTTACAGCTTGGTGAACTCTGGAAAGACTGGCGACGTCTCAATGTTGCTATCACCAGAGCCAAGCACAAGCTGATCCTCCTGGGGGGTGTGCCCTCACTGACGCGCTACCCTCCTTTGGAGAAACTGCTTTGCCATCTAAGGTCAGAAAAGTTAATATCCTTTTTTGTCAGGTATGTGGTCACCTTTGTGCTCTGGTGCTTTTTATGAACTTGTATAAATTAAAACTCAGTGTTTTCAGTTTTCCACCTGGATTTCTCAGAGATCTCCTTTGACAGAGGAGAGAGAAGACAATTCATGGGAAGTTATGTTAGATCACAGGAAGTGATGGAGGTGACAGAGAGATAATTTATAAAGTAAGAGTCGGGAAAATGAGATGTGATCTGTTGCCCCAAAGCTAGCACATTCGGGAAAATTGGTTCTCTCTGGTTCTGGTTCCAGATGTGTACCTTGTTTTTATTTCCATTCATTGCTGTGCTGGAGGTTGAATCTAGGGCCGTGTATGTGTTGGGCAAGTACTGTGTTGCTGAGCTCTATCCCCAGCCCGCCCTCCAGTGCTGTTCAAATAAATCATTAAAGAATTCACTGGATGGTCGCAAGCTGGATTAATCTTCCTACTTAAGCACATCATCACTTGTACAGTGCCATGCAGCTCTTCACATTTTTTCGTAGTTCTATAAACCCTGTTGTCAAGTGCGGGGAAATGCCATAAATGCTTTTGTGTGCTACCATACTGGTGAGTGCATCTTCCTTAATTAGTCTACATCATCGATCTTCCATCAAGAGAGCACCAAAGTCTCTGTCACATACTGGGAGATTTCAGAGAGCATGAGGCACTGCTTTCTTCCTGTTCACACTAGGGCAGTGTCCCCGAGCTGGTGCTACTATTCCTAATTTTGGTTTGCTGAAAAACAAAGCCTGGAAAAACTCTGAAGATGACTTGTATTCAAAGTGTGCTCTACAAAGTTCCAGTTGTTTCTTTTTCTTAAATTTATTTTATTTATGCTTGTTAAACATAAAATTCTGTTGCCACACAATATTTACTTAGTTATTAATGAATCACAAACTTGGGAGAGTCTAAATTTATTTGTATTATACATATATTTTTATCTGGCCTAGAAAAAGTTTTTTTTTTTTTTTTTTTTTTTTTTTTTTTTTCCGGTACTGGGGATTGAACTCAGGACCCTGAGCTCGCTAGGCAGGTGCTTATTCTACTGAGCTATCTCGCCAGCCCTAGACAAAGTTTGATAAAATTTTAACCAACTTCAAACACGAGTTTACGTCTGGATCTGATTTTAAACTTGTAAATCTAAAATTCCAGGACTAATTTGGTTTTATAGATTTAATCATAAGAATTATATTTGAAACCCAGACCAGCGCTGCTGCAGGTCAATGGGGAGCTACACACACACACACA